TCAAATATGCCTTTTTCTTAGGAAATAATCAGTCTGGGTTTTATTCTGTACATTTGTAAAGAGATTTTAGCTCAAAACTCTATCTAAATGTCCAAAATCGGATGATGCGCGCTCTTAGTGCCAAGCCAGTTTTTCTCTTACACGTGAACAGAAATCCCAGACGCATTTTCTAAATTTTGTAAAACTTTTTTAATTACGAGAAGGAGATTTTAAATTTGAATACTGGGGAGGAGGCGTCCATATAGGATCGCCATGTGCTCCTTTTTCCTTTCCCCTACACATCCTGCTTTGGGGGAAGTTTTTAGCAAATGACTTAGATGGCATATTTGTTCCCAAAGTTATGTTTAATAGAAAAAGATATTTTAAATTTTTTCCTATTTCGCTTTCTAAAGTCATGGCTAGCACCCAAGGTTATCTTAGCCAAAGTTTGGTTGTCATAAGATGTTCTAAAGTAAAGAAGCCTTTTAAATCTTTCTTTTTAACCCTAAATCCTCACACCTTGAGGGACTCCCTGAGTCCTGTAAGAAGCCTTTTGAATCTTTTTAACCCTAAATCCTCATACCTTGAGGGACTCCCTGAGTCCTGTAAGAAGCCTTTTAAATCTTTCTTTTTAACCCTAAATCTTCGCATCTTGAGGGACTCCCTGAGTCCTTAAAGAAACAGCTCATGAGAACTCAAAGCCTGCCCATGTCTTAGCCTCTTCCACGTAAGCTCAAAGTGGACTAGAGGCAGAAGACAAGGGGGGAGACAATGAGGGAAGAGAATGCCTATCCAAAATGAATGCGTTCACTTACCAAAGCAACAGGTCTGACTCGCAAAGCGGGTAAGCAGAGCGGCGACCAGGAAAAAAGCAGGCTGACTCACAGGGCGATCCCAGTGGCGCCAAAGGGGGTCCGGCCGGACAAGAGTGAACGTTCCTGAGGAGGATTGGAGAGCGGAGATCACGTTGGGCGCCAGTTATGCCCCGACCTGCAGGGCACGCTTCGTGGGTACACCGCACCAAATCCTGCAAAGGAATGAGAGGATAGGAGACGCGAAGAAATGGAGGCAAGACAAAGTTCTGATCAAGCCTCAGTTTTATTCTTTACAGCGAGTGGTATTTATACTTTTTCTAGAGGATGGGCAAAGGAAGTCGTTAAGGATGTAACAGACTTTGGAATGTCGCAGCTTATCAGCGGAGATGTAGCTTGCTTTGTGCTTAGGGTGAGGGTATGTTATTTCTTAACTCCAGGCTAAATTGCAAGGTTAACTTTTAACTCCAGGCCAAATCGGGAGTTGGCTTGGAGGAGCCAGAAACCTCTTGTTGTAAGCTGGAGATGTATATGTGATTTATAATGGCTCCCAACACACCCCAATAAAGACTTTACCCACATGACATCGTACATAGTCACTACAATGTATAATTGACTACATTCCCCATGCTATACTTTAACTTACTTCCCTGTGACTATTTTAGAACTGCTGATTTGTACTTCTTAATCCCTTCACCTTTTTCACCCAGCCTCCAGCTCCCCTCCCATTAGAAAGTTTTATTTATGAAAGAATATGTAAAAATACATTTGAAAAGGACCAGCTTCATTGCAAAAGGCCCTTCTCCTAAGCTGCTGTGATTCCTTGACTGAGACATCGTCATCCTGCTATCTCCTTTGCCTGGACAGATGTCCAAACCCACATCACTGAATCTTCTACTGAGAAACTCTCTCTCCTTAGTGCCTTGAGACACTATTTTTGACTCATTTATACCTGTTACCATGTCTGATTTGAATTATAATTATCTACATCTTTATCTGCCATCCTCACTAGATTGTGCCTCTCAGGATGCTTTCTTAACCAATCGTAGCAAGCAGATGTTTAATAAATGCTTACTAAATAGGGAGGGAAGAAAAGGAAAGTGAAGAGGAATGGTCTTTCCATAAGAGAGGATTCTCTGAGCAGCCAGCTATCACCAATGCCATTTTAAAAATCATAATTGACAAATATTTGTTTGGTACCTACCATGTGCCATGCACTTTCACTTTCATATTTATTCTCTCCTGTAATTGGAAACCATGTGGTTATTGGGGTCATTCATCTCTTGTCCTTTTATGATAAAGTGGATTCTACCCAAACTCTCTCCCCAGACACAGTGGGAGACCCCATTTTCCTGAGCATTATTGGAGAACAGCAAGGGATGGGCTTAGAATTCAGGGGTAGGGAACCTTTTTTCTACCAAGGCCCATTTGAATATTTATAACATCACTTGCAGGCCATACAAATTTACCAACTTAAAAATTAACCTGTTATATTTGGTCAAACATTTAATTAACTTACCGCTTATGCTTTGGCACAGGGGTTCTCAACCTGTGGGTCGCGACTGCCTCTTTGGCAGTCGAACGACCCTTTCACAGGGGTCGCCTAAGACCATCCTGCATATCAGATATTTACATGACGATTCATAACAGTAGCAACATTACAGTTATGAAGTAGCAACAAAAATAATTGTATGGTTGGGTCACAACATGAGGAACTGTATTGAAAGGGCCAGAAGGTTGAGAACCACTGCTATGGCAGGTCCAGACCAAATGATTTCTGGGCCTGGCCAGACATTCCCCACCCCTGGCTTAGATGTGTCCTGGTGCTCACGTGAAATCTACTGCTGAATTAGTTCCATTTGGGGATCCTTTTACTGATTGTTTTCCCAAGCTATAAAGACAGTCCCAATTATTTCTCCCCACAAAATGCCATGGTCGTAAGCCAGGAAGGTTGCTTTAGTAGCTGACTTTCTCTAAAGGTTTGGAGGGATGGTGGAGGTAACTACTGATGCCTGGCAGTTAGACATTCCTGTTTTGTAATGTCTTAATTTCTCACAAGATGCCTTCTCCTGCAGACTCCACCTTCTGGTCCCGTCATTTCCTTCTCCTCTCTGTGGCCGATCCTTACTCCCAAATTTCTATTCACTTCCTACACAGAACAGTGTCACTCTTTCACTGTCTCACTCCAGACCCCATCCTTAGGTCTCGTGCCCTATACCTGAAACAAGTCATCAAGGTGTTTCCCTAAACAATGTTTCCCTTAGAAGAACACAGGTAGTAAGTGTTAAAATAATTCTTTTACAAACGCACTTGACCCTCACAAAACCTGGTGAGTTATTTTCTCCACAAGGCTGAGATGAGGTTAGGGGACTTCCTCAAAGCCCTAGCCATGATCCATTGCAAAGCCATGCTTTGGGCCAAACTTCACACTCCCGGGGCAGTACTCATGACTTTGTGTTCCTTCTGATTCTAGTCCTCTGGATTAGCTACTTCTGCCGTGCTGTTCATCTTTAGCCTCCTGGAGTTCTGCATTGCCTGCACGTCTGCCCACTTTGGCTGCAAACTACTCCACCATTCACACAACAGCGTGAGTTTGTAGGACCTTCAGAGGGTGTAAACATGCCCCAAAGAGTGTGGGGACCAGATGGGCCTTCAGGCTCCCCTTCCTGCCCAGAATGTCTAAAGGCCTATTTGCGTACACGGTTCTCACTAATGTACCTCCTGTGCCCATCTTTTCCAGGGGCCGATGGTCTTCCAAACCATCTACACCAATCCAGAACCATTGAACTCGACACCAAGTTATTCCAATGTGGTTCAGGGCTCCCGATAAGCCAAAAGTTCTAGAAGCATCTTTCACTGGGACCAAAAGAAGAACTCCCCTTTCTAGGCTTCTGTAATTCAGCTTCTTCCTCCCCTGACAAACTAGGGAATGTGTTTCCCCAGCTGTTGGCACCCTTGACTTCATTCTCTTCAGCCTGTAAATCATGCTGTTCCTCTATTTAAAAAGGAGATAGGACATTGAAATGGATTTTAGCAAAGAGGTCCTCCCTAAGACATCAACTTGTGGAACATCCAGTGCACATATTTATTGACTTACCTGTGTGAGCTTATGAGTTAGAGGATCAAATGTCTAGACAACCCCAGCTTCATTCTCCCAATCATTCACTCACTGAATAAAAGTGCAATGAGCATTTGATATGTTCAAGCCTCTCTATTCATGACAAGAGGAGGGTGAACATGAGTGAACACACAAAGTACTGAAATGTGTAAACCATTTGCTCCTAATTGTCCTTGTTTAGGGAAGATAAAACCTTGTGATTCATTAGCTGGCTGTAAATTACTCAAATTATTTGGCTTTGTTTAATTATTTTGTCTCAGTTTCCCGTATTCCACCTATCAAGGAATTTCTCTATTCTTGCTTCCTACTATCCTGCCTCAATATTTCCCAAGTTATTCTGCTCAATGCTGTTTAACTTGCATTATCTCATTTCCTAGCCAAACATTACAGAGTAACATTATCTATGTCTTAAGAACAAGAAATATGAAAAATCTGGGACTCAGAAAGCCTAGGTAATTTTCCCAAGTTCATACCACTAGTAATTGTGGAAGCTGGATTTGAATCATGTTCTCTGCCTCCATATTCCATGCTATTGACCACCTCATCTTGTCATGTCCCAAGTGCTGGCCCCAGGACAGAAAGAAAGCATGCTGATGATGGCAATGATGATCAAGTCCTATGGGTCCTGGAATCATAATGTTCCGAGCTACTCACTCAGTGGGAATGGGTTGGCTATGATCCACCCACTCTTGCCCTGATAATCAGAGGTTCCCCTGCTGGGAACAGCTATAAGCACATGACCATGATTAAGGGAAGGGGTCTGTGCATACAAATAGAACTTGACAGGCAATAAAAAGGGTAGAATAAATAAATCTCAATAATGGTACACCCACCAATCTCTAATGGGACTGAGTTACAGGTTTCAGAAAATACTACTCAACAAAACACAAGCCAGCCAGAAAGTAACGCAGAGGGTAAAGAAACAACCAGGCAAAAAAGAGCATTTCCGACTATAACCATCAGCTCCACACAAAGAAGGACAAACACCAATAGGGCAAAGGAAGGTAGGGAAAAGGAGAACAGAAATACACCTGTGAGCGTCACCTTCTCTGACCTCCTTTTTCTCTGAATATAAGGACACTAGTCCTCCTCTTCCTCAGTGATCCCTGCTTTCATACCACCTCAATCACTCCCATAGGCATACCTTAACCCGGTCCTTTCCACAACTGCACCCCCTCTATAACTTCAGTTTCAATGTCCTTTTCTTCAACCTCTACCTCCTATCTTTCCAACTCCTGCCCCAAGTCCTATAGTTCTCAACTCCAACAGGACCTACAGCCCATCCATCTCTCATCACTCATATTAGACTCCCATGGCTCATCACTAAAATCATTCTCAACTCCCTTGCCCCCGTCTCATCTCAGTGTACTGTCTGAAAAAAAAAATCCCAACCCTGGGGGTACAACCAAGATGGCGGCATAAGTAACTGAACTTGCTGCCATGCGCAACCACATTAAAACTACAACTAAAAGACAAAACGAATATCATCCAGAACCACGGGAAGGCTGGCTGAGTGGAAATTCTACAACTAGAAGGAAAGAGAAAAGCACATTGAGTCCAGTAGGAGGTGCAGAGGTGTGGAAATGTGGAGGTACGGAGGCACGCGAGAAAGGGGCTGGCAACTGGGTACGCTGTTGTCTTTTTCAACCAGAAGGGAGATACAAGCTCCCAACTGCTCTGAACTCCAGTTCCAGGTGAGAATTTGGGGACCCAGACACATACGGGGAGAAACTGGACTGTCTGGCATCTGGCCGGAACGTGAGGGTGGCTTTCTCACAGAGGCGCTTGCAGCATTCATTGTTCCTGCACGGCCGCGGGACACAGAGACCCAGGAACCTATCCGGGGGAGGGCCAATGGCTAACCATTGTTGTTTGATTCCCTGAGACCACACCCCACCCAATTTACAACCCCACCCAAGCTGTGCTCAGAGGCTTTTGCTTACTAATGGCCTGGCCTTTCTCTGCCTAAAAACCTGTCAAACTGTAGCTGGGTCAGAGAACCCGAGTTTCCAAAAGAAGGCCTAAGGCTTGTCAGCAGCCTGAATTACTTCACAGCTGCACCTCATCTGGGCACCTCCAAACCCCAAACAAAGAGGAGGAATCTGCAGATCTCTCTGTAGCTCCTGCTGGGTAGCCTCAGGAAGTGGCTGACTTTGCACCTCCTTGGAGATCCAAGAGCCAGTCTACCCAGTGGTCAGAGTGAGACCATCCAGATTACAACTCTTCACATCCATAAGAGACACACTCAGGGGGCAGACTCAGTGAGCACCAAAGCCTCACTGAAGCAAGTCCTGCCCCATAAGGGTGTCTCCAGCACAGAAGTTCTCCCATTGTAGACACAGCTTATTCTCACAGCCAATTGGCGTGGAGGTCAATTCCTCCCAGTGATACCAACTACAATCAAGACTTAACTACAACTAGACTGTGCACATAGCCCACTAAGGGGTACACTAAGAGTGTCCACTTCAGGTAATTGGGGAGGCTGAGCCACTGGGCCCTATAGAACACCTAGCACACAAAGCCACTCTATCAATAATGGTACACAGGGAAGCAGCCAAAATGCGGAGACAAAGAAGCAGGTCACAAATGAAAGAAATGGAGGAAAGCAAACTACTGGGTATAGAGTTCAAAACTAAAGTTATAAGGCTGCTCAAGAATCTTCTAGAAACCTCTGAGAAATATAGTGAGACCCTCAAGGATATGAAAAAGGACCAATTAGAAATTAAGCATACACTGACTGAAATAAAGAATAATATACAGAGATCCAACAGCAGATTAAAGGATCCCAAGAATCAAGTCAAAGATTTGAAATACAAAGAAGCAAAAAACACCCAACCGGAAAGCAAAAGGAAAAAAGAATACAAAAATATGAAGATAGTGCAAGGAGCCTCTGGAAAAACTTCAGGCATACCAAGATCTGAATTATAGGGGTGCCAGAAGAAGAGAAAGAGCAAGATATTGAAAACCTATTTGAAGAAATAATGACAGAAAACTTCCCCTACCTGGTGAAAGAAATAGACTTACAAGTCCAGGATGCACAGAGAACCCCAAACAAAAGGAATCCAAAGAGGACCACACCAAGACACATCATAATTAAAATGCCAAGGGCAAAAGACAAAGAGAGAATCTTAAAAGCAGCAAGAGAAAAACAGTTAGTTACCTACAAGGGAGTACCCATACGACTGTCAGCTGATTTCTCAACAGAAACTCTGCAGGCCAGAAGGGAGTGGCAAGAAATATTCAAAGTGATGAATAGCAAGAAATTACAAACAAGATTACTCTACCCAGCAAAGCTATCATTTAGAATTGAAGGTCAGATAAAGAGCTTCACAGATAAGAAAAAACTAAAGGAGTTCATCACCACCAAACCAGTATTATATGAAATGCTGAAGGGTATTCTTTAAGAAGAGGAAGAAGAAGAAAAAGGTAAAGATAAAAATTATGAACAACAAAGTGACAACAAATACATACAAATACATATCTATCAAAAAGTGAATCTAAAAATCAAGTGAATAAAAAATCTGATGATCAGAAAAAAACTGATGAATTTAATAGAATCAGGGGCATAGAAAGGGAGTAGACTGGCAATTCTCGGGGGGAAGGGAGTGTGGGGGGTGCGGGAAGAAACTGGACAAAAATCATACACCTATGGACGAGGACAGTGGGGTGGGGGGGTAAGGCAGGGGGTGGGGTGGGAACCATGTGGAGGGGAGCTATAGGGGGAGAAAGAGGAACAACTGTAAAAATCTGAACAATAAAGATTTATTTAAAAAAAATCCCAACCCTGGTTTAACCCACTGACTGCCTACTGAGTGCCAGAAAATTGTTCTAATCGTTATGCTTCATATCCCTACTCTATACTCTTTTGGAACCTCTAGACAAACTATTTCATACCTTATCCTCTTTTCTGAAAATCTCAATACCTCTTCTGCAATTCTCATTCTCTCTTCATGAACCTGCTTCCTGTTTCCCCAGGAAATTGGATACATCAGAAGACTCGATCTTTCTGTGTCCATAGCCTATCTTCCCATCAATTACTACAGAGGAAGTTTTTGGGCTCCTTCTACCTGGCACCAGATTCCACCAGATTCCACCCATCTCATCTACTCACTCTTTCCTACATCATAGTTCAATGTCCTCATGAACTAAATGGAATGAATAATAGCACATACCTCCAAAGGTTGTTAACAGCAGCAGAAACTAAAAAGCATTGAATGCCTCCTGCACGCCAGGCACTGTGCTAGGCACTAGACGAGCAGCTCTATTTTAACACTCATAGCGATCATGTGAGGGTGGAAGTGGGGAAGTCACGTGGCTTTTCTGGCTGCTCTCAGGTGAGGCAGACAGCCGGATTTAGTCATCCGAGTGTCCAGTCTTGTGTTACATCATAACGTGAATTAGGGCACCTGGATCCTCAGCCCTGCACAAGTCAGGTAAGAAGGGGCCTTGGTGGGCTCCCCACTCACTTTCCACCATCTTTTCCTCCTCCCGGCCCCCTACCCTAGCTGGCTAACTATGTTTCCACCCTCTTCAGGGCTGGAGAATGGAAGGAAGAGGTTGAGGGGATAGGGAAACATAAGTTTACTTACTACTCTTGTTAGCTGGCATTACCCTCCCTGAGACTGGCGGTGTTTAAGCTGACTGCTCTACAGAGGTGGTGGGCAGGGTCTACAGAGACACCCCCATCGCTCGGGGTCTCTCCTGTGCACCTCCTCCAACAACTCTTCCCCAAAATGCAGGGCATGGGTAGCAATTTCTCCAAATCTTAAAGCCAGCCTCTCCCTTTGGTCTGAGGGTAAACAGGATGCAGCCCCTCCCCTACACACAGTGGTCACATCGCTCTACAGTTCTTTTCCTCTCCCAGCCCAAGGGGAGGGTGGGGTGACAGTGTCAAAGTCCTCTAGCAGGCCCTCTGCCACCTGCCTTTTGCAAGTCCTTCTCGGCCTTCTGGGCCTTCTGTGTCCAGCTCACTCCAGGATCTGGTCTCAACTGAAACTTCTGTTTTAACATCTTTAACACATACCCCCGACCTCAAGGCCTGCAGCACCTCCCGCCCACCATACTGTGATTTCTGATCCTCAGTTTACTGGTCTGCAAAATGGCCAGAACAACACCTCCCTCAAAGGATAAGGATCTGTGGTCTCATATAGATGCCAGTGCTCTCCAAACTGTAAAAGATAGTGCATATGAGTCTCCCACTGCATATCCAGCCCACTGTGGATGTCTGGGTGTTTTCTGTGACTCTGCTTCTCCTGGTTGGCCAAGCAATTCCAAGCAAGAAAGTCACATAATTCCTGAGACTCGCAATTTCCTCTCTCTACCTCCCCCCACCCTCCTGCCCTCAGCCACCACCAGCATCTCTGCACCCTCAGGCCAGGGACCACCTCTGTGTATTTCAGAGGCCACCTGGCCCATACTCCCAGCTATGTGCCACCAGAAAGAGAACTCGTTTTTTCTTAGGAACCAATCAGCCAGGGCAGCCTTAAACACTGATGCATGTATGCAGAGACAGGCGGTGGGAAGGAGGGAAACTCCTGGCCCACCAGGGGAAACAGAGACACAGAAATCACCTAGACATCTGCAATGGGCTGGATATGCGGTGGGAGCTTCATATGCACTACTTTTTACAGTTTGGAGAGCATTGTGGAAGGCTCTGGTGACTTCTGCGGGCATCGGGGAGTTGATGGAGGCTTTGGATGCAGAATAGGGCCATTCTCCTGAGGTCCTGGGGAAGGATAGTAGGAAAGGAGAGGGGTCAGCAAGAACTGGAGTCAATAGCCACTACCCCCAACCATGGGAGGGCTGGATATAGGAGGCTCAGGCTTCTTGACCTCTCTTTTTCTCCTCACCTATTCCCTCTATCCTTTCCCTCCTGTCTCTCCCTCGTGCAGGTGAGCAGCAGCCTAAGGACGAACATTCTCAGGGCCATGGCGACCTTTGCTGGGTTGGCCATTCTGCTCATGGATTTTGGTGTCACTAACTGGGTGTGCTTTCAGATGCCCCAGCAGTGGGAAAACATGGAGAATGGAAGAGCCATATCCAAAGCTTGGGGAAGGCAGAAGTTTAAAGCACTAGGAGGCCAAGGCCCTGGGCTTTAGCAGGGTCTGCCAGTCCCATTAGACCCCCATGAGCATATTGACCCCTGACCTTGGCCCAAGCATGCGGTTGGGGGGAACGGAGAGACAGCCTGGTAGAGTGAGGAGAGGGCACAGGATGGGTGGCTCCAGCTCCAGCTCTGCCACCAACTGGCTGTGTGACATGGGCAAGTTATTCTCACTCTGGACCGCCTTCCCTCCTTGATTCTAGAATCTTTGCTTGCCTTAACTGTGATTTTTGGTCCCCAGGATGTGGGCAGGGGCAATCTGGCTGTGCTTACCATCTTTACCATCCTGGAGTTCTTCATTGCAGTCATTGCCACCCATTTTGGGCACCAAGCCACCCTAGCCCAAGCCAATGCAGTGAGTACTTCCACCCCAACCTGGGCCTCTGAAGAAGGGTGTTCACTGGGAAGGCTCTCTGCTTCCAGACCCTCCTTACTTCCCCCTGAGGAGTAACCCAGCAGCACTGGGCTTTGATGAGTTCCACTCTTACAAATGGAGGGGACCCAAGGAAGTCTTTGCTGGAAGATGGGACTATTTTCCTCGTGGCCACAGGGGGCACCAGTACCAATGAGCCTGCTGCTCTGTGAGCCTTGGAGAGCAGTGAAAGGACCTGGGTGCAGGGTGTGAGTTGGAGTGCTACACAGAGATGAGTAGGACCCTCCAGAGGTTCACTGGGCCATGAGGGAGGTAGGGGGCATCAGAAAGGACAGCATGACTCACTGGAAACTGATCTTAGGTTCCCAAACACTGGCACACCATGAAGCCAGAAAAGAGATAGAGGAGAGCATTCATGGCAGGGGAACCAGTTCGAGTAAAGGCTGCCTCTGGCAGGAAAATGTAGACCATGGGAGGTGAGGCTATTAAAAGTCTTTGAGCATAGACAGATATGCTCAAAGGGGAGGGTGAGTAGAGCAGGACCCAGGGAAATCAATCAAGAGCATTGTCCAATTCAGGGGGGAGAAAGGGCAGAGAGAGATGTAGGGGCTGCAGGCTGGCAAGCCACAAGGAGGCTAGTTCTATGTATGGAAGACTTGAACCAATGCAGGACCAGTCAGAGAGGAAAAACTTTAGTTTCTAGAGAAGTGAGACGTTTGTGTTTTGTTCACTGATGTATTTCCCAATGCTGGGTCATAGTTGGCCCCAGTATATAATTTTTGGTATATTACCTGAAGGAATGACAGTTGAGTTGTCCCATTCAGACTCACAGAATTCATTACTAGACTGCTATACTCAGAATATCCACAGGGGGGCACTAGTGCAACACCTGCCTTCAAGGGAGAGAGCCCTCCAGGACTGTCAATTGGGTTTTCTTTTCAGACTCCTAGAATTCATTACTAGGGTGCTGTTCTCAGAATACACACAAGGGGGTGCTATTGGGCCTAATCCCTTAGTAGGGTGCTGTTTCAGAATGCTCACAAGAGGCCAGTATTGCAACTAATCTATTACTAGGGTGCTGTTCTCAGAATGTCCACAAGAGGGGAGATTAAAAAATGGCAGCAGATTAAGTGGATATTACTCAGACATGCTCCCAGGACCAAACTGGAATTACAACTAAAAAACAAAACACATACACAAAAACAACAACAACAAAAACACCAAAAAAACCCCCCCACACACAAAAAAACAACACCCACCATCCTGAATAATCAACTGAAGACTAGCTGGAGATAACCTTGATAACCAAGGATGGAAAGTGGAGACTGCATAGAGACTGGTAGGAAGGGTGGAGGTGCGAAAGGTCTGGCCAGGCTCCCACAGACAGCAGCTGAAGTTCCGGAGAGATATCTCACTGAGACTCTGGGGTCTAATCCCCAACCTGGGCCCCCCAGCAAAGAGCACCAGAAGTGAGAAAGGTGCCCACATAACATCTAGTTGTGAAAAGCAGCAGGGTTTCTGTCTGCCAGGGAGAGATGGCTGGAAATGCAGGCACCCTCTTAAAGGGCCAACACACAGAATTTCATGTCCAGCCATTCACCTTGTGCTCTGGCAGAGAGCAATATTGCAACACTTCCTTGCAGGTGAGAGCCCTCTAGGTCTACCAGTAGGGTGCTGTTCTCAGAATGTCCATAAGAAGGCACTATTGGAACACTTCCCTGCAGTGGGAGACCCTCTAGGTCTAATACAGGGGTCCTCATGTTGTGGTGACCCCCAATTTCATTGTTACAAATTGAACATAATTAAAGCATAGTGATTAATCACAAAAATAATATGTAATTATATATGTGTTTTCCGATGGTCTTAGGCGACCCCTGTTAAAGGGTCATGACCCACAGGTTGAGAACCGCTGCTCTAGGTCTATCAATAGGATGCTGTTCACCCTAGCCAGTTTGGCTCAGTGGATAGAGTGTTGGCCTGCAGACTGAAGGGTCCCGGGTTTGATTCTGGTCAAGGGCATACGTCCAGGTTATGGGCTCAATCCCCCAGTAGGGGACATGCATGAAGCAGCTGATCAATGACTCTCATCATTGATGTTTCTATCTCTCTCTCCCTCTCCTTTCCACATTAAAATCAAAATATATTTTTAAAAATAGGGTTCTGTTCTCAGAATGTCCACAGGAGGGCACTATTGCAACACTTCCCTGCAGTGGGAGAGCTCTCTAGGTCTATCAATTGGGTTTTCTTTTCAAACTGGCAGAATTCCTACTGAGGTGCTGTTCTCAGAATGTCCACAGGAGGGCACTATTGCAACACTTCCCTTCAGTGGGAGAGCTCTCTAGATTTCTCAATAGGGTTTTCTTTTCAGATTCACATATTTTGTCATTTTCCACATATCCAACTACTTTAGGATGATTCTTTTAAAATTTTCTTTACTATAAATAGCACTGCTATAAACACCTTTGTACAAATTGTTATTTTCCCTCCTGTCTCCTTCAGATTTTTCCTCTTGGAATGCTATCTCTAAAGTGGATTTATGGGGTCAAAGGATCCGTTTAATTTCATTGTTCTTGTTAACATAATGATGAAGTTATTGTGATGAACTAAAATCTTATTTTATGTTCAGTTGAAACCGAGGTGCTTTCCACTGAACTGCAAATATCTGTATTAAAGGAGAAATAGCATAAAAATTTCTAGAAATTATTTCAAATAACTCTTCTAGGAATAAGCCATTTTATATTACCAATCATTGGGAAATTTGCATAGAATTAGGAGGGTATCAGAGGTTATTAAGTTCAACTCAACCTCTCTACACCTTAGTTTCCTAGTGTGCAAAAAGTATATAATAATAGAGTTGTTTTGAGACTAAAACAAGAAAATATATGTAAAACACTTAGCTCATTGTCTGACACAAATAAATTATCAGTAAATATTAGTCATTATTACAGTATAACTATTATAGTTAGCATATACCAAATTGAAAGGTCATATTCCATCCATTCACTTATTTGGCATTTAAATGCTAGGCATTGGCTAGAATTTGGAATGCAAAAGTGAAAAAAAATTTGTCTCCGTCTTCACAGAGCTTATGTTCTATGATACAGACAATAAACCAATATATCATGTTAGATGGTGCTTGTGTTATGGAGAATAAAGCAAAATCTCAAAGTAGAGTATGTATGTTGGTATTACTATTGTATATATGGTGGTCAGGGAAGGTCTTCCGAATTTAGTGATATTTGGGTAAAGACCTGTGTTCCAATTATCTATAGGAACGTAAGCACAGGTGACCCAAAGCGTTTCATTTGGATATACCAATACAAACGTCAGAGGGTACTTACTATTAATTAATATGGCCGAGCTTAACCAAAAACTAAGAAGAGAGAGAGAGAGACAGGAGATAAACAATGCAAGAAATCACACAGGTTTATTTACCAGAGAGCTGATGGGTTTCAGTCCTTGGCAGGCCACCCGGAGACACTCGCCGACAGAGGAGACACACGGAGGTCGTCAAAAATACGCTGCAGCAATGAGCTCGGTCTCTTGACTCGAAGAGAGGCGCCTCTGGCAGTTTGGGCTCAGGCAGAGCGAGAATGGCAGTTTCACAGTTCGGCAGTTTCCAGGGGGGAGGAGAGCGTCCTGTCTGTGGAGGGCAGACAAGCGTCTGAACCTCAGCAGATTTGCTCTCCTTAAATCCTTGAAGCTGGGCGTCTTCAGTGTCTCATATCGGGTGCCATACACGGGTGCTGCCCTGTTATCTAGGTATACACTTAGGCAGGAAAGTTGTGACCATGTTCACAGCTTATCAATCATACATACATCTTAATTTTGGATTTGTTTACAAGTTTTGGTCTAAGAATAAAATGGGGTCTACTTATGCTAACTTATGCTAATACAAAGTGAGTCTACTTTATGCTAACTTATTGCTAATACAAAAATGGAGTTTACTTTATGCTAACTAAACTTATTACTATAACAGGCTTCTTCAGTGTCTCTTGCCAGTGTGCTCCGGTGGCCTTCTGGGCTTGTCAGGATGCACACGCAGGGGGTTGCAAGTTTCTTATCAGGAGTTAACATGCTGGGAGTTATTGGTCAGGAGTTAGCTTGCAGGGCATTACAAGTTACTTATCAGGGTCTCACACACACACACACAAGTTAAGTTTCACTTCTAAGTAAAGTTTAAAATTCACTCTAATAAAAAAAATGAAATTTGATTATACTATCTTATACTAACTAAACTTATTACTGTAACAACCTGAAAAGCGACAGTGAGTCTAAAGACAGTTCCAGACAGACTTTTACTGAGAAATACGGCCAATTTTTTGTTGTTGTTGTTAATCCTCACCAAGGGTATTTTTTTCCATTGAATTCCAGAGAGTGGAAGGGAAGGGGAGAGATAGAGAGAGAAGCATCAATTGGTTGCTTCCTGCATGCTCCCCAACGGGCACTGAGGATTGAGCCTGCAACCAAGGTACGTCCCCTTGATCAGAATTGAACCCGAGACCCTTCAGTCCAGGCCGACATTCTAATCACTGAGCAAAACGGGCCAGGCTGGTTCCACTTCTGAGCACAGGAACTTTCAGATTTGGTAGCACAGCCCAAACTATCTTATCTAGGAGACCCGAAATATATCAGGTGTTGGAATAGGTGTGGTCATCAGTATGATTATAGCTACAGTTTTCTCTTTATTATTTCACTTAAAAATCAACATTAAGCCCTAACCGGTTTGGCTCAGTGAATATAGCGTCAGCCTGTGGACTGAGGGTCCCAGGCTCCATTCCGGTCAAGGGCATGTACCTTGGTTGCGGGCACATCCCCAGTAGGGGTTGTGCAGGAGGCAACTGATCGATGTTTCTCTCTCATCGATGTTTCTAACTCTCTATCCCTCTCCCTTCCTCTCTGTAAAAAAATCAGTAACATATATTTTTTTAAAAATCAACATTTAATTTTTGCATGGATAACACGTTCACATGATTCCAACACAAAAAAGTGTAAATAGGTAGAGAAGTCTGTTCTGTCCTCATCTACACAGTTTGCATTGCTCCCAACAAACAGCTAACATATTAGCTTTTTAAAAATCTTTCCACAGATTGTACAATTTTTATTATTTTTTTTATTGATTGATTTTAGAGAGAAAGAGGAAGTGAGAGGGAGAGAGAGAGAAACATTGATTTGCTGTTCTACTTGTTGATATATTCATTGCTTGAATCTTGTGTGTGCCCTGACCAGGATGGAACCTGCAACCCTGGCCTCCGGGGAGGACGCTCTGAACAACTAACTACCCATCCAGGGCCCACGCATTTAACAACGAACAGGCATGGACGTGTAAGCAGTAACTGCTTGCTTAGACAAAGAGAACCATCCAACATCCGGAGACAGCTTTCCGGGAGCCTGTACCTTTAAAATAGTCAATCACATTTCGCCCCAGCTGCCCACGATTCCCCACCCAGGGCATCTTCAGGCCTGGAAACCGGAAACGCCCTGTGGAGGGTGCCGGTGACCCGGAAGTCCTTCCTGGGGAGCGCTAGAGGCGCTGGGCTGAGGTGCCTGAGGACGGGCTGTTGAGAAACGGCCCTGATCTTTCCGTCCAGGGTTCATTGAGGGTTTGACCTGCCCCTGTGGCTGCCTGAGCTTCCCCTCCTCGCCCTGGCCGCGCGGTCTCGGTGCCCGGAGGCTCCTGCCCGTGGCGGCCGGGGTGTTCGGGACCTTCCGCCCCCGGAGCCGGAGCCGGAGCGGAGAAGCATCGCCCGCAGGCCTCACTCCGCTCGGGCTTCTCGGGCTTTCGAGGCCGCTGGTTAGAAAGGTGGGCCTTGTCTGTTCATATAGAAAAGCGCAGATGTTGTCTTTACTTGGTGTTTTCTTTAAGGTTTTGTTTGTTTTACTTTGAAACCTCACGTTTTGTTATGGATACAAGGCAACGGCAACGATGCTGGCCATTCTTGTGGGAAATGTCAGACGGGCCGGCGCTCCCCGTTTGCCCCGTTTTGAATGGCGAGCGGTGGGTTTGACCTTGGCGATGCGGGGTCCTCGTGGGGCGGGGCGGGTGGGGAAACTCCGGTGTCCTCTCCGCTGACGGTAGTTTCACGCCTTTTGGAGCTTTTGGAGCCTTGCTCAGGCCTGGAATGGAATTATTCCTGCCATTGTTTTCACCTCCCACTTTGCTTTTGGAAACAATCAGAGCTCAAGGCATTTATGGGAGCCTTTCAGGGGTGGGGAACCTATTTTCATTTGCGGGCAGGGCACAGTTATCGCTTTAAAATGAGCCTGCTGTGTATGGTCACACATTTAGTTAAGTCGCCCCCTAAGGCGTGGCAGGGCCAGGCCAAATGACTTCGCAGGCCTAATGGGGTCGTCCCCCACCCCTGCAGACTGCCCCGGAAATGTGGGTGTGGTGCCGGACCCCTGCCCCCACCCCTGCAGACTGCCCCGGAGATGGGGGGTGTGGTGCCCGACCACTGCCCCCACCCCTGCAGACTGCCCCGGAGATGTGGGTGTGGTGCCGGACCCCTGCCCCCACCCCTGCAGACTGCCCCGGAGATGGGGGGTGTGGTGCCCACTCCTGCCCCCACCCCTGCAGACTGCCCCGGAGATGGGGGGTGTGGTGCCCGACCCCTACCCCCACCCCTGCAGACTGCCCCGGAGATGGGGGGTGTGGTGCCCGACCCCTACCCCCACCCCTGCAGACTGCCCCGGAGATGGGGGGTGTGGTGCCCGACCCCTACCCCCACCCCTGCAGACTGCCCCGGAGATAGAGGAGGGTGTGGTGCCCGACCCCTACCCCCACCCCTGCAGACTGCCC